ACATGCTTCTAAGGGGCCAAAGAGATGGTTAATAGCGTTTGTTACTCCTGTAGGGTTTGGTTCCCGGTGCACCCATCAAGGAATAGCGCTCTCGCTGGCTTCCACGGGCACCTGCACTCACAGGCTCATAGCCCTGCCCTTCACACTCATAGTATTAAAATAAATCTTTTTTAAAAATCCCATTTTTAACAAATAACAACCTTCTAAGAAGCCAATAGAGGCAAAACAAGTAATTTCTTACCACAAAACAAAGGACGGAGCCTAGTCTTTGCGCATACCCATGAGAGAGGATGTTGGAAATGAATTTAACAACTTTGAGCTCCTGCCTGATCACATTGCCTGATCACATTGCCTGAGAGAAATGCAGTGGAACCTCCACATACTGTTTGATACTCACATGGACTCTTTTTTTCACCCAAAGTTGGGAATGCAGTGAGTTTAACAAGATAAGGGCAAACTTACTGATGAACCGTGCCTGTATATTAAACTCATCAGCAGAAATAAATATTTGAAAAACAGATGAAAATAGTCATTAACTTGGTAATCTCATTATAGGAAGCAGCACAGACATCCAGAATTTTGAGTAATTAAGTCATTGTGTCCTTAATTAGTTTAGAAAATACTGATTGGACACATTTAAATAAACTTCAGGCCCCACCCATTCCCCTTTCCATGCTAATCAGAAAGAGCTGATGTTAGCTCTTCTGTGTGTGAGAATCTAGGCCCGTCTGATCTGTTAGACTTTTAGCAAATCACACTTGTGTGGACAGAACGCTGTCTTCAAAATGCTTTCATTTGCTGTCTCGTTTAAGGTTGGCAAAACGTGACAGTTATTGTTATGTTCATTCTGTGAAAAATGAAATGAGGCACAGATGATGTTGTCTTCTGGATGTTGGTGTTTCTATGTCTCTTGAGCACAAAGACACCAGAGAGGCCACCAATCCCAAGCTCAGAAGCTAATGTGACCTCTTCCACCACTGGATAAAGGTCTCCCTGCCAAATCGTCATCGGGTCCATGTGAGGCAAATTATGGGCACAGAGTAGTTTAAGAAGACTAGCACTTGACCTTGGATTCCTTTGTGAGGTCAAGGGCGTGGAAAAATTGCTATGCTATCCTATTGTGAAGTCAAGGATGTGAAGAATTGCCATGTTATCCCGTTTGTGAGGTCAAGGGCGTCAAAGAGTTGCCATGCTATCCTGCTGTGAAGTCAAGGGTGTGAAGAGTTGTCATTCTATCCCATTGTGAGGTCAACGGCATGGAGGAATTGCTACGCTATCCCACGCACTCTTATTTCTTGCTGGAAATGTGTTCTAGAAGTGCTTGTTCTCTTTCACTCCATCTTTAAAGTTCAGGTGCATTTTAGCTTATGTAATTTTCCAGGTATTTTCTCCTTGCACATTTTCTCAGGGAAAAAAAAAGATGACATCGTATCACTTAGCTTTGCAATTCCTTATTCAAACAGTATCGTAATTTCTTTATAAAGAGCTTGACTGACGAATAGAATTGACTAAAACATTGCTACTCAGAGAGATCTGTGGTAATGGAGATTATCCAAGATTTTAAGAGAAGTCATCTACTCCGTCCTGAGGACATCATAGATTGCATTTTAACATGGCCCCCAGTTAATGGGTTGGTGAACTTGGAGAGCATCTAAAATGAGTACTTGTTAAGGGAACTGGAAATGGTGTCTGGGGTTGGGGAAGCAAGGGTCTTCAATGTGTGATCTCTAGTTGTAGCAAGGCCTGCTGTTCAAGGGTTTTGGCACTAGAGGGAGATATTGGGTTACACAGATAAGTGGGTAAGCCCCCTCTAGGGAAAAGAAATGCCATCCTGAAGATGGGCTACATACGTTTGGTCATCCAAGGTAAATATATTCTACTTACCAATAATGACTAACTCCTAGTTATCATGAGCTGTGTGTAGACAGTATACCAGGCTTCTTACGTGAATTGACTTACTTTATCCTTTGGCTACCATTTATTATGACTCTAGTTTAACATGAAGAAATGAGAGTTTAGGGAAGCCAGGAAATACGTTTATGGTCACACATCCAACAAGGGACGAGAAATAATGAAACATGGGTCAGATGGAATGTGAGCCTGAACTGTGACCTTCCAATATGACTCTTCATTTCTCTCCATACCTCATAGGCAGACGCATTAAAATAAGTAGCTGCAACTCTAGTAAGTGATGGAGGAATGAAGAATTGAGTTTGAATTATGGGTATTTTTAATGTTCTTTCCTTGGGAGGCAGGTGACCAGAGACATGTGTCCAGGCTCTAGAGAAGCAGTTCTCAAACTGTGGGCTGAGACCTTCCTTGGCAAACCTCTATCTCCAAAAATATTTACATTATGATTCACAACAGTAGCAAACTTACAGTTAGGAAGTAGCAATGAAAATAATTTTATGTTCGGGGGTCAGCACAACATGAGGAACTATATTAAAGGGACACAGTATTAGGAGGGTCAAGAACCACTGTCCTAGACCATCAACATGAGGAACTGTATTAAAGGGCACAGCACTGGAAAGGATGGGAATCTCTGCCCTGGACCATCAACATGAGGAACTGTATTAAAGGGATGCAATATTAGGAGGGTCAAGAACCTCTGCTCTGGACCATCAACATGAGGAACTGTATTAAGGGCACAGCACTGGAAAGGATGGGAACCGCTGCCCTGGACCATTAACATGAGGACTGTATTAAAGGGACGCAATATTAGGAGGGTCAAGAACCTCTGCTCTGGACCATCAACATGAGGAACTGTATTAAGGGCCATAGACTTCAGAAGGTTGAGAACAGCTGCTCTGGAGTTCTGCTATCTTATTCACAACCACTAGTCACACACGGTTATTAGGCACAGGGAATGAGGCTACTCTGATCCTACATGGCTTAATTTTCAATAGTTGAACTATAAAAGGGAGCAGTTGATTCAATAATCAATTGGAAAACTTTTAGGCATGATTGGGTAATGTAGGTATGTGAGTCTATTTTTTCAATGAAGAATTTCCCAAGTAGATAGCAGTCAAGTATTTCTGATGAAAATTTTGTTTCCAAATTGAGAAGGGCTGTAAGTGTAGAATGTGCAATTGTTTTTGAGGACTTATTTATTATATAAATGTAAGTTATTAATAGTTTTTATATTGAGTGTATGCTGAAATATTGAATGTGTGCTGAATTATAGAAAATGAGCCATTCAATTTGTTTCATATATTTCTTTTTACCTTGAAATGTATTTAATGGAAGGTTTAACTACAGACACACATATGTACACACATACACAGCATACACACAAGCACACACACATGCATGCACACACACTCATTTAAACCTTCCTGTAGCCATATCTATGTCTCAAATGCTATTTCCAAGGAACAATGCTTCTCTAGAGCCGAACTGCCTGTGATCAAATCTTAATTCGACAGCTAACAACTGGGGGAAGTCTGCACCTCTTCAAAATGTGCTTTCTTGACACCTTTTCACTCTCCAGACCTAATTGCCATAATTCTATTTTGGTGTTAGTATTATAAAAACCTCCTTCCTGAAAATTCAGTCCACACTGGCGAATTCAAGTGCTGACCAAGATGGAAAACACGGGAACCTGCTGTTTACTTAAATAATATTGATCTGTTGATTGATTTCACACCTACTCGTGTGTGTGTGTGTGTGTGTGTGTGTGTGTGTGTAGATCAGGGGGCCACCTATCTGTTCTTCTACCACAAGGGTTCCTTCACTCCCTGACGCATCTCACTGGCTCAGGAATTGCCACATTGCTTGTGACATATAAAAGGTACTGTCATTTGGCAGGGAGTTTGGCAGTGTCCTATAAAACCACATAGGCTTTATGACCACAACCCAACAACGGAACTCTTATGCATTTACCAAGAGTAGCCGAGAAACTTACCCACACAAAAATCCACTCACATGTTTGTAGTGTCTTTGTTTATCGTTGCCAAAAGTTTGCAAGCAAATAATGTCTCTTTCAGTGGGAGCAGGAATAAATAAATTGTGCTACATGGATGTATGAAGGAACACTATTGGGCACGAATAAGTAATGAGCTGTTGAGCCATAAAAAAACGAGACGGAAGAAGGATGGGCATGACAAGGTAAAAAGCCAACCCAAAGTAGCTTCATGCTGCATGGACCCAAGCGCAGAACATTCCAGAAAAGGCAAAACAAAGGAGACACTAACAGACTGGTGGAGGGGGAAATGAATGGGCAGGCCACTTGTCTGGCAGTAAAACTGCTCTGCGCTGCACTGTCATTGTGGGTACCTGTCATTCAAAGCCCGTAGGATGTGAGCAGCACAGGCAGACCTCAGTGTGAACCAGGTGACGTGCTACTTGTGCACACATTGTGTGACTTGTCACATCCGTGTGACAAGTGGACTTCTGGGGAGCAAGTGCAGACATCACTGCAGGCAACGCATGTGTACAGAGAGGGGATGTTCCCGAACCTCCTGGTAAGTTTCGCTATGAACGTAAAACCACGCTGAGAAATAAAGCTCATGAAAATACCGTGTAAAGAAAAGCTGAATAATACTTAGAAATCCGACTTCTATTTTTTTCAAGCTTTGCCTTTTCTTTTAAGCACATTAATTTGTGGTGATATTTTCATCTTCAGCTCTTTTCTCTTATCAAGAGTCCTTCTTGTTACCACTTGCTGCCGGCACGACGGCACAGCTTAAGGCTAGTCTCTATCAGCGGACCGTGCGGATTACTACACAACCCAGAATGAGTTCAGCTCAGGCATGGGAACAACCCCAGCATGTTGATGACATCGCACGTTTGTGGAGTGATAAGAGCAGCCCCTGCGGTGATGATCCCCCCCAGAAGCAGCAGCAGCCTGACAACTGTCACCGACAAGCTAACTTAGTCCTACCTGATGGGGAAAGTCCTGTGTATATGTCAATAAAGCACTGTTGGCCAATAGGGAAGCAAGGTAGGTGGGACTAGGAGTCCAGGAGGACTCTGGGTAGGAGAAACACAGGGAGTCAAGATGTAACCGCCATAGGGGTAAGAAGCCTGGAAACTTCTCCGGTAAGAGAAAATACTTAGATTAGCAATTATGGGACAAATACTTAAGTCAGAGCTAGCCAGTAAGAAACAAGCAAGGCCAACAGCTTCATAATTAATATAGCCTCCTGTGTGTTTATTTGGGACTGATGCGGCTCTGGAACCAGGCTGGCAGGAAGGCTTCTCTTTACACTACCACACGTTCTAACCAGGAGGCCCAACCCCGGAACCTACGGTCCACTGCGCTCTAGTTGCTATCTGAAAAGGCATTCCAGCTAAAGGCTTGGCTCTTCTCTTGGAGCTATGAAAAGGCTTTCCCTGTGGGGGTATAGGGAAGGGTTTGGGTCATTAGGGGATCCTCCGGTGCAATTTTCACTTGACAGAGGCAAAGTGGACATGAAGGGCCCCGGAGGGAGCTTCTCTGTGACCACACCCTCGACAACTCAAGGAAGTAAGAGGCGTGCATCAGACATGATAGGGCATGGAAGGGAACCAGAATGAGCCATCTAGGATGGGAGAAGCAAGAGCTACAAAGTCAGAGAAATAAATAGCAGGCCCACAGAAGGGAGGGAGAGTGGGTGTGGGGGGAGTTGGAAAGAAGAGGAAGATGAAGAAGTGCGTGTGTGTGTGTGTGTGTGTGTGTGTGTGTGTGTGTGTGCGCGCGCGCACGCGTGTGTGTCTGGGGCATATGCTTGGCTGTGCAGACACGTTGGTGTCTTCTTCCTACCTCATTTGTAGAAACAGGGTCTCTCACTGAACCTGGGGCTCGGGGGTGCTTTGTCTAGTTAGTTTGGACTTGCTGGCAATGACTGGGGCCCCTGCTGGAGCAGTAGGCATGTCCTCTGTGCTGAGCTCCTGTGTGGTCCTGGGGATTCAAACACAGGCGCTCATGCCTGATCAAGCAGGCACTTGACCACCAAGGTATGTCCCCAGCCCCAGCTTGGAAGGAACCAGTGTTGTTCTTTTTAACAGAAGAGAGCTGATTCCCAAGTGTAGTGAGAGGTGTGTATCTACCAAGCAGGTAATCCGTTAGGGATCTGGACCTGGTATTTGCACGCATAGCCTCCCCACAAGGTCCTTGCTGGTATACCTGGCATGTGTGGCTTCTGGTAGCTGTAGCTCATGGAGCAGAGTGTCTATGATAAGCTAAGTTGCTTTCTATGAAGCACATGGATTTTGTATCAAGGGGTCTTAATTACAAGGCTGTAAACATGTCAAAGGGATCTGACAGCACCTTATTAAATTGCGAGCCTGAGCTCCAGCGGCTTCTGATGCTGGCACAGTCCCCAAAGGAGTCTCACAGTCACTGCCAGCCCAGCCTTTGGCTCCCTTTCCCTGTCCCCTTCGCTTTCAGTTCTGCTAATTATAAAAATAGTGCATAGGAATGAACTATAAATCAAATTATGAAAACACATTAGAAATATTTCACCCATAGTGTTTGCCTTATTTTTATCTTTCACTCCTTTGAAGGCTGGTATAATTTAATCCCTAGAGACACTTATTTGAGTGCTAAGTAGGAAAAAAAAGTAAATTTTACATGAGATTAACTTGTGACTGGTATTTTAAATTGTATTTACCAAGAAATAGGACATCAGTTTCAAATTTCCTTTGTGTGTATGTGTGTTTGTGTGTGCATGTATGTGTGTGTGTAAATGTGTGTGTGTCTCTGTGTGTGTAAATGTGTGTGTCTGTGTGTGTGAGTCACGCACATACAAGTGTGGAAGCCAGAGGTTAATTTGGAGGTGTCTTGTGTCACTCTCTCCCTCATTTTTGGGAGTCAGGGTCTCTTTCTGCACCTAGTGTTTACCTTTTCAGCTAGGCTGGCTGGCGAGCTCATGTGCCCTGTATCTCAGCCTCCTCCAGTGCTGGATTACAGGCCTGAGTAGTCACACCCTGGCTTTTTATGTAGGTGCTGGAATTCTAATACATGCTACCCCCGAGTCAACTCCCCAGACCCAAACGTCCTTTCTTCTCTCTCTTTCAAGACATAAGTGTAGCCAGGTGGTAGTTCACACCTCTAATACCAGCACTCAGGAGGCAGAGGCAGACGGATCTCCATGAGTTTGAGGCCAGGATGGTCTATAGAGTGAGTTTCAGGGCAGCCAGGACTGTTGTATAAAGAAAACTTGTCTCAGAAAACCAACCAACAAAACAAACAAAAGACAGAAGCGGAAAAGGGGTAAGTGCATAGAAATATCTGCCATGCTGACTATGATGCCCACAGAAAACTTAAGCTAGTAGTTGCATTGTAAATATGACTGATGCAAATCCTCAGTGATGGCTGCTGAGCCTTTGTCCTCAGTAGAAGCCTTGGAGATATTTTCCTAACCTCATTTACTGGGGTCCAAGAGAGCAGGTTCTTGCTATCCCAGAGAACATTCCATCATGTTTTTCTTCATCCTTTTCTTTTCTTTCCTTTCCTTTTCCTTCCTTCCTTTCTTTTTGACTTTTCATTTGTTTATTCTACTCTTATCTTTTGGTGGCATTGAGGACGGGACCCAGGAAGGGCTTTGCATGCCAGGCAAGCACCTTGACGCTTGGCTTCACCACCCTGCTGTGTCCACTCTCATGGAGGAAGACCATCTTTCTCTTCATCCCTCTCTAAAGCACACATGTTAATCATGTATCAACTGAGAGTTTTAAAATGGGCAGAGAAGCAACTTCAGGTGTTCATAACTTACAGAATCTCAGACAAGGAATTGGTTTAACCAGCAATGGCAGAGCTGAGAAGCCAAATGAGGGGCAGGAAGAAGGAACCCAGGAGCTCAGTGAAAGCAAGGATGCTTCCACCTGGAACTGGGTATGTGCGTTTTTAGCCTACTGGTGTGTGTAGCAAGTCCCCTAGGCCGGTGGGGGATTCATCGTGTCAGGCACACTCAGGAGTCACGAGGTCCGTGGGCTGAGGCAGGGTATGTGAAGGGCAGTGGCTGAAAGGGGGTCTCTGGTGCTTCCTGGGTCCCTGTGGGACCAGCTAGAGGATGCTCGCCTGATGTCATTTTGCTTAAACTTCTAGACAGCAACCTAATTTCTGGGCCGCTTTGTGAGTGGATCTTCACCCGCTTTGTTCTCCTAGAAATAACCTACGGGGCTGCCTTTCCTTTCAGGAAGCCAGGGAGCTGTGTTTATTTAGGAACACGACGTGGGAGTGAGACGGAAGCAGATTGCTCTTCCAATACGAGTTCTAATTCACAGATCAGTCTTAAAAACACTCACGTGTGATTATCTGCCAGATGTGTCTGCGTGCATCATACACATGCCTGTTGCCTGTGGAGGTCAGAAGATGTCATTGGAGTCCATGGTACTGAAGTTAGACAGTTGTGAGCCGTCATGGGGGTCCTGGGAATCAACCTTGTGTCAGGGCTCCTGGCCATCTTTCTAGCGCTACTGATTAGATTTTGGACAAAGACTTTTGACAAAATGTTTGCTTCAATTATGGTAAAAGCCAAACAACAAAGGCCACAAACCTGTGGGGTGTGTGACTTACCCTCTTTCCCATGCGTCCTTCAGTGGGGTGTGTGACTTACCCTCTTTCCCATGCGTCCTTCAGTGGGGTGCCCAGTGTCACAAATGTTCTTCTACAATTCTTTATGCCTTACCTTTAACTTGGCCAGTAGCTCATACTTAAAAGGATTAGGTTTAAGTCACTTGCAACTTAGAACAAACGTAAACCAAGAAATTATCTTTATGGTTGCCTAATATAGCTACACAATGAAATTGACCCTGATATTAGCGATGATTTGGGTGGGAAATATTAGAATTAGGTCATAAATAATGACAAAAGACAATAATATTTATAAGTACCTTGAATATAATATTTCAAGAATAGTGTTTGTATGACCAGTCTGAAAATTTAGGAAGAACTTTCTAAAATTTAAAATAAAGACAAATTTTGAAAGGGCACATAGCATGAAGTCATAAGATAAAGTTTAATACATTTGATCATGTTAAGACACAAAACACAGCCAATCTAGTCAAATTTCAGGCATGCATTTACATAAATATATTAAATTAAGAAAAGAAATTATACACTTAAAACATCCTTTCACCTAAAAACATTAAATCCACAGATCAACAATAAAGCCAATTCTCTGCATTTATCATTTCTTCAAGATACAGTTGTTCTATTTTAAAGATATCACAAATACACTTGTTAGAATTTATATGCATTATACATATATTATATATTACATAGATAGTGTGTATACATATGTAGTGTTTGTACAGACAGATAAATATATATATACATGGGTGTGTGCACATGTACAGATACACACAGATGTACTGGAGGCCATCTGTACTACTTGTAACTGCTGGAGTCTAAGGCTGAACCAAACTGGAGCTAGTTGATTGTGAAATTCTCTTTTGCTTCAAACACGTTAATCATGCCAGCGAACATACAGCCCTGCCCTTGCAGAGGCCCCAACCTTCTCTGCAGCGTGAAATTTTGCGAGGCACTTCAGCATTTATATTGCATTGATGAATAAATGGGTAGCTGAATAGTAGAAGATCCATCAAGGAAAACTGCATATTTTTACAAACTGATTTAGTAAACCAGATTAGTTCAAACTCGGGGGGGGGGGAGTCATGCGCACATTAATTTTTAGAATGTTCTAGAACTCGTAAGTCATCCCTGCACTAGCCCTGACCCTACTTGCATTTGGGACAGTTGTCCCTACGGTCAGCTGCCTCAAAGATGGATTGGTTCTGAAACGTCCTATAAGATTCTGGATAGACTGCTTTAATTGTCAATAGCCTGTAAGGAAATGGACATTGACAACTCAAAACACCAAGATATGTGAGAAGGATGGAACACAAAACCACCCCTTAACACTTAACAACATCAATCACAGACAAATTCAAGAGGACACAAGAGTTTCCTATTAGAATCCCTTCGTGCTTATGGTCATGATTCAACCATTTTTTCTTTGTAATTAGACAGATTTATTTTAAGTAGTAGTAGTCTGTTGTAGCATGTCCTGGGGAATAAAGTTCCCAAAAATTCTACAGTACTTCAGTATTGCCCATCCTGTTACTTCATGGCTCTTAGTGACACACATGTCCATACACATCCTCTGGCTAGAATAAGATGAAGGATATCTGATATCTCATAAGGCTGTCAGTTTAGCTTCTCAAAAATAATATTATGAAATGAACCCTCTGAACATGGATTCTTAGCTCATTCCAGAAAAGTCATGCTCAGATTTTAAGATTATAAAGCAAAGTAGCATCCAATGTTTATTCTGGCACAGACCATACCAAGTCTAATCATACCTTATTCATGTGAATGGAAACTACTGACTAGTTAAGTTTTCAGTACAGAGAGAAATGTTCAAGACTGAATTTCTAACTGTGAAGAAAAAGCTTATATTAAATTTGGCCACTGTGAATTTCCTATCACAATATTAGTGTATATATATTATTGAGATATAATATACATATACTATAGAGAAAAATTAAATATATACATATATATATTAGATGACAAAATGTTATTCTTTTTACTGAAAAGATGATAGCCAACTGAGATAATATACAATATATAGGTATGTTCACTTGCCAGTATATGGATATATGTATTTTGAATCTATAAAGAGTTATAGATTCAAAAAAGAAAACCCTGAATAAACAATGACATCTTACTTTGTGATGTACATGAAAGACTACCTTAGGATGAATGTTGAATTGGTACCATTTTTTGTTGTTGTTGTTGTTGACCTACAAAAACAAATGAGAAGTTTTAGGTATAAGGTTTTTTATTGATGCAAGGAATCTATTATTTATTTGCATTTTTCAACTGTCTGATACATGCCTTCAATAAGTTATACGAGAAAACAAAGTAAATGATGGGTGGATTTTGGCTTCATATTTAATAGAACTTAAGAAAATATCAATCTCATAAATGAATGAATCTCTCTAAGGCTGCTAGAATTTTGGGAATCAAGCAGTTAACTACTCTTTGCTTTCCCATGAGTCCTTTGCCTTCTCCTAGAAGGCAACCTCAAGCCCATTCCAGAAGTTACTCAGAGGAGAAGGCACCATGGAAGACATACAGAAACTCAGCTGAGAACTGTATCTGACAGGCTCCAAGAACATGTTTTCAACATCTAGATGCATCTACACTTGGGTTTCCTATCTTATTTCATGTCATATTACTAATTGGATGTGTGGCCAACTTGTGTCGGTGTGACAAAGAAAGTCAGAGAGCAAACGCATGTCTCAAATATAGAAAGAGGAACTTTCTGATGGGAATCCATCGATACTCCCAGAAACAGTGCCACCAATTTCCTCAGGGAATAAAAATGTGTTCGTTTTCCAGGCATATACATTTGGTTAAGTTTTCTGACTGGCAGACCTCATGGCAAGGAGGATAAGTTTCTGAGGTCATCATCACCAAGACACTAGTTTCCTTCCATATGGATTTGGAATAGTTTTCTTCAAAGAGGACTCTGTAGAGATGGTTGTCATTTTTGGTAGGAACTAGCTAGGCGTGTCCCTCCTGTCAGCTCACGCTTTCTACTAGGGTGACTCTATTTGTCTTTCCTGTGACTTTTCTAGAAGACTGACATGGAGCACCTACACTGGTAGATGTGTGTGATTTTCGTCATTTCTTTCAATGACTGCTGTAGACCAGCCCGGTACACTCTTTCTCTACTCTTCTTAGTGATACTGAATTTAAGTCAACATGACTCCAGGAGAGAAAACAAAGGAAAACAAGCCCCAACAAAACGTATAGGTATCTGTTCCAGGACAACCTCATGATGGTCACGTGTGATGTATCTGTTTAGTGAAAACCTTGTTGAACAGGGTTGTTTTGGCTATCCTGGGTCAGGATAGTGAAGGAAGAAGAGATTCAAAGAGAGATGGGTAGAGAGATATAGGTGGAGGGGCAAAGAAGGGTGAAGGAGGCAGTGGGGAAATCTCAGGTAACATTCTAGAAAGATGCTCAGAAACTAAACGGATGCACTTCCCATAATGTGACTGGTATATTCCCCTCCCTTACCAACTTAAACTGGGCTTCTTTCGAATGCCAAGAGAAAGTGGAGAAACTCCTAATAGATTAGCATGTGTTTAGAAAGACCTCCGCTGCAGGGGCCCACCTCCCAGCCAGATAGTAAAACAATGTCAGAAACAAAAATGCTAAATAACAGTATGGTATTCCGGTAGCAATTCCAAGGATAGTCAATTGGGAAGCCATGACTACTCAGAGGCATGCAAATGACAAGAAAATAGATTTCTAGCTGGGTTTTGTGGGCATGCATAGATGTCTTTGCCCATCTTTCATGAAATTGATCTGTTAAATTGTAGAAGCTTCTGAGTAAAGCTTGTGAAATATTTCCCAATACCTTAAGTAAGATTCTAAGACAAAAAGGTATGGATGGAAACATTTTTGTCTTCACTGAATTTTCTTAAATGTCCCTCCTTCTGACTTTAATGATATGCTAATTTAGCTTTCATATCATTGCTTTATGGGCTTTAAGTCAGGGCACGTTTGGCAACAATACTGATAAGAAGGTTATTTCACAGTCAGCTGGTACCCAAAGCTTAAGCTCTAGGATGGGCAGGGAATAATAGTAACTGTTTATTTCTTCTTTGTCATACACATCAGCACTCACATAAATGACATTCTTCCAGTTTAGATTGTGTACTTTGTTAGATGGGTAGATTTTTCTTAGCTCATACTTTTTAACCAATTCCAATCCATCTTTCATAAGTCATTTATGATAACCCCCAGTCATACATTTAAAAATCAACTTCAAGGAATAGGCCAAAGACAATTTTGGAATTGGTCACATAGTCTAAAACACACAATCACCCATCAATCATTGCTATTTACTTTTCTCCAAAGGACAGAAAGAAAGGAGTCTAGAGACTTTCTTTGCTTGGTTTAAATAGCCATGGATCTTGCTATCTTCTTTAAAGAGAACTTGGTATTTCATTTGAATAGGTTATTATAGAAAAGGCAATGACGTCTGGAGTACAGAATGATCCCTAAGTCACTTGAGAAAGGGTTATGTAAAGCAGCTCTGGTTTGGCCAGCCTAGTCTACGTTGTTCGAGTAGAGCGCCCACCAGAGGAACATCTTCTCTTTAACGGTAAAACGAAGCACTCGGGCTTTAAGGTTCTGTTGGCTTTCCAGGGGTATCCTTGTTTTTGCTTAAACTATGAATGGGGGTATGTGTAATAAAACTGTACGATTTGACAGATTTAGACAGCTGGCTCCTTCAGGAGACATTCACATTCTGTCAGTGTCACCCACATTGAATAAGAGATGATTTGATAGTAAGGTCCACTTACAAAAATGGTTGTCAGGGCAGTTTTTCCTCTTTTTAATTGTAAAACTTTCTGTGATGGAATTCAGTAAAAGGACTATGAAGAGAAAGCAACGGAGACAAAAGATTGCTATTAACCTACAGATTCAGGCTACTGCATGGTTCATTGCAAGATTTGTCACAGTGTTGGGCCAATGGAGTGTTGGTGAGACTAGAAGGGACCACCCCTTTTCTGGGGTAAGAGGGCAATTTGGTCTCCATGCTCATTTAGTTCCAAGACTTCTTTGAATAGACTGTCAATTGAAGCTAAATTGTGCAAAATTATGCATGCACTTTTTAATGCAGGCTATTGTTCACTAAGCACCAAGGTTTCTCAACCCATTTCCATTGGTATGAGGTCACTGGAAACCCAAGTAATCATATACGGAAGACAGGAGCCGTGGAGCCAACAAATTGTTCCATGTTGTAGATTCTTTAGAATCCCTTAGAATCCACAATGTAATTGCAACTCTCTTACTTTAAAACAACAGATTGCTGCTGTTGTTTTATAATTAAAGCTCATATTCCTAAGGATAAGGAGCATGTGTGCAAAAATTAGCCAGTGCCGGGTGCTCACATGATTCCAGAGGAATGGATGCTACGGTAGAGGGTGTGTGCTTATCATGGCCAGTAGTACAAAACCCTTACACTTTGTTAGAATGCAAACGTGGAGAGATGGCAAATGGAAAACCACTAAGAACAATGTCTGTCAGACTCTTGTCACTCGGAGTACATCATTTTTCTAAGAAAATCTGAACAGAGCATTTGTGGGAAATGTACTGAGGCCACAGTCAAGGGGTATTGCCACCGTGTCCCGAAGGAACATGTGCACGGAAGTCAGTGTTGCCAAGAATGAAGATTTTAAGAATCTGCACATTAGGCAGCTCCTGCACAGCCTGGAGTGGCTATGAATGTGTAGGCTCTTCTCCATGAGGGTAGAGTCAGGGTGCACACCTTAGGGTTCTAATCCCGGACCCTGACAGCCTTGTGGTGGAAGCCCCGCACATGTGTGCGCGGCTGGAGTTCTGGAAGGACTGGCTGTTCTCTTGCTTTTCCATCTGACCGGTGTGGTGGTTACATGTTGGCACAAGGACACACTGCTACATTAGATCCAAGGCACATTAGAGGCTGTTTGCTGCCTTAATCCCCTTCTTTCCAATTAAGCTGGTGGAATGTAACCTTAGTAATTTACAGGACAGGGTAAAGGTGTTTCATCTAGGTGATGTCTATATTATAAAAATAAAATAAAAATATAAATATGTAACACAAAACCAGTGACTATTGTTACACAAAATATACAATAGAAGCAGTCCATTCAGGAAGATTGCTTTTTCAGATAGGTTGCTCTGATTTAATCATAAGACATTTGAAAACCATCTTGAGGTTAAGCTGAAGTAACCAGATTGCTCTGTCAAATAAAAAGGTGAGTGCACAACATTCTGTAATTAGATACATCAACAGGAATGCAGAGTACAATATCACACCAAGCTGCTTGCTCAGAAACCCATCGAGGAGTTTGGAAACATGCTCTCTCATTATAGACCTTTAATATAAAAATATTTCTACCACATTGCACAACATTTCAAAACCCTACTATGCTCAACTTTAGTAATTACAGGCAGAAATTCTCCGGGAACTAAAGGGATATCTTTTGATGCCATAAAAATTCTGCAATTTAATTCTCAGTGGAACTTTTGTGTGAAGTACTCCACACCAGGCAGTAGGTATTAAAAACAAAACAAAACAAAAGCGCCTGCCATACGACCTCGGGTCTCGGGGCTGTGAGTGCGCGCGTGTGGGGCGTGTGTATCTGAATGAACAGGCCAACATACACACTGAATTCAGTCTGCCCACTTCTGGAAATTGCTTTTAAATGGCTAGAAGAAAATGAGATCACGGGCATTCGTAGCAGGAGGATATAGTGTCTCTTTTTAATGACAAGATCAAAATAAATGCCCACCAGGAAGTACTATTCGGCTGTCCCAGACACTATACGATGTAGCTTGTGAGGTCCAGCAAGTAAGACGTCATGTCAATGATGTGATCCAGAATACCTGCCCTGGCCGCTCTGCGCATGCTTCTGTCCACGTGCTCACACTGAGGACCGAGGTAGCCTTTCTTACAGAGGCACTTGTTCGGTCTGACACAGACGCCTCCGTGACGACATGCCGGCTCGCATTTGGCTGCAAGAAAGGAAACACGGCATTATTATTCTTTCTCTTTGAATCTTTTTACAAAAGATTTTTCTTATTATGCATGCAGTGTTCTGCCTGCGTGTATGCCTGCAGACCAGTAGAGGGTATCCGGTCTCATTACAAACGGTTGCGAGCCACTGTGGGGTTGCTGGGAATTGAACTCGGGACCTCTGGAAAAGCAGCCAGTGCCCTTAACCGCTGAGCCATCTCTCCTGCCCCGTGGTGTTATTCTTAAACTTCATATCAGAAAGCCATGCCGTAGATGAGACCAAGTGTCTGATGGATAAAGAAAGGCAGAAAAAGAAGGCAGGAAACAGCCACAAACTGAACGCGCAAAGAAAGGTACACTCAGACAGTTCCCAGACTTGAAGGCTTTTAGGGGCAGGGCCCGAGCTCACTTATGTCCAGATGTCAGCACATGGAGAAGCAGGGCTCATGACAAACTATCACAGTCATTTGAAGAACTGACAGTAACACAGTAATGCCAGCCCTTTCAGCTCCTGCTCCACAGGGCGTTTCAACCAACAGCAATTCCATCCCTTCGGGGTAGGACCTCACAGGAGAGAGACTGGCCTTGAGAAAGGGGTCACCAGCTGGAGCAGTTCCAATGTGACACTGAAATAAGGTCAGTTTGGGACTGGAGTTGCATGCAACATCCAACATCTGGTCTCCCTGGCATCCCTGCTTCCCCAAGCTACGACTGGGGATGCACAGAACACATTGACCTCTGCTTATGCCTGAAGTCCCATCCTGGGGTCAGTGCAGGGACTGGCAGAGGACATTCTGGGCAATGCTTTTTAGGGCTGCTTAAAGCATTGAGTTTCTTAATTAAGTCATTTGCTTCCTGCGATATAGAGAGAGAATGTAAAGATTTACTGCCATGATGGTATGGAGAGACACAGTTTGGTATATTCATTAGTTGTCACTTATGATAAGTCTAGGGGTGGAGCTACCACAGACAAGTTGTAATTATGTATCTCCTAGATTTATAGCTCGAACTCTAATCAGATGTTACTAAATGGCAGAAGGAATTTAAGCTTAAAATATTTACTGTCTATATAACTCTTAAGTGTCGGTTGCTTTTGTTAGACAATATGCAAGCCAAACAAGTCATGATTATAGTATATTTCAAAACATATATCTTTAGAATAAAAAGCAGGATTTATGAGCCAAGAGAAATATTAAATATTAATTTGAATTTTGGTTTTCATTGGCAGGATGTACTTTAACGTGTGATACAGTAGAGATTAAAACCATTTCTGACTAATGCATGCACACTCCTTATTGAATTTGTATTTCAAGCCCAATCTTAAATTCTTAAGTTTCTGAGTTCATTCATTTTCTTTTTTATGTATTTATATGAATGAGTGCTCTGTCCTCCTGTGTGCCTGCAGGACAGAAGAGATCATCAGATCCCTTCGTAGGTAGCTCTGAGTCACCATGTGGTTGCTGGGAATTGAACTCAGGACCTCTGGAAGAACAGCCAGTGCTCTTAATCACTGAGCCATCTCTCCATCCCTTACTCATTTTTCTTGACTTCACACCAATTAGAATTTAACATAGCAGGAAACTGAGGAAACCTCACGTGACACGTTAGAATAACCCACACAAATGTGCTCCATTCTCTTTGAGCAGCTGCTCACTTTACAATGGGTCACAAGGGATGGAGTAGAATAGAATAGTCTCACAACATGTGTCTAGATACTTGCATGTTCCCCTTTTAATTAGTAACATGCACTGAGAATCTCCATTCCTAGTGTGCCACAGCGAAATGCAAGCGTGAAGTCAGAAAGGGCGTCCATGCAGCGTCTGGAAAAGGCTGGCAGTTGGTCAGGGTTTGGCAAGCACCAAGTCTTTGGCGGGTGTGAGCTCTCCAAATGCAGGACTGTGCTGTTCTGTTTTCATTTTTTCTTCCTTTTGAAAGGATTCATCCTTTAGAGGTCTCATATGCTCATGATTAACTTAAGTTCGACCTACATTAAAATGGGAAGGGTTCCACTTGCAACTTCAGAAAGAGAAGTTGTGAAGCACTAGCCTCCGGCACGCTGAATGGTTCTAGAAACAGGTGATACTAGTTTCTCAAGCACCCAAGGGCCAGTTACAGTCAGGGTTCCAGGTGATAGCAGAAATACTAACCAATTCTGCAGAAGTCTCCCTCCCAGCCTGGACTGCAGCAGCACTTGCCCGTGGGGGTGTAGTAGCCATTTCGACAGAGCCGGGAGCAATCCGAGGTCAGGGTTTGTGCAGGTTGAACTGTGACTCTGCATTCCTCAGGCATTAAAGGTCTGCGCACCAAAACAAGAATTGACATTGCACATCAGTTGAAAATCAGTATGCTGAAACTGAGTGATCTTATAGCTTACGAAGCACGTCTGTTGCTTTCAAAAGATCTTTTTTTCAAAGGATACAGTCAACTCACAACTTCAGAAGAGCATAAAAATACACTGGAAATGGGAAGTGGCCTAAGAAACTTTACTACCATCAAAATTCTCCATAACAAGTACAAGAAGATTATGATTCCTTTGTATTTGTTAGCTAGAATTCCAGAAACTCTAATTTTCAATTTTCATTTGATGGTGTGTGTGTGTATGTGTGTACACGGGTGTGCATGTGCTGGAGTTCACGTGTGTAGGTCAGAGGTCAGCCCTGTGATGTCAACTTTCTCCTTTCCCCCTCCCATGGGTTCTCATCATTAGGCTTGCTCAGTGAGGCCTCTACCCGCTGAGCCTTCTTGCCAGCTCTCAAACTGCAATTTTAAAGAATAGAAGGGCAAGCATATTTTGAAGCTTCCTTGCACTCAGATCTGCAAACACTTTTAGGGATAACTCCCCCAGATTTCCTCTCATGTCTGACCCAGGTGGCGATATCACAGGGCCAGTCACGTCTGTCCCAGTGATCTCTGGCTGACTCACAAACATAGGAATGAATCCCTTCTGTTCTGTTCCCTTCTTTTCTCTCTTCTTCCTTTTTTAATGGTTCTTGGGGTCAAACCCAGAGCTTTGAACACATTAGGCTTGTGCTATGTATGCTGCTAATCTATGTGGCTCCCCTTCTTCCTACTCCCCCACAACCTAGTCTTTAGGGCAGGGTCTCCTAGGAAGTATCTCTCTTTCTCTGCCTGCCTGCCTGCCTGTCTGTCTGTCTGTCTGTGTGTGTGTACATATGTCTGTGTGGTGATATATTGTTTATGATCTAAAAGGCAACTGATCTATATCCTCCCCTTTTGTAGTCTTTTTCTTTTTGTATTAGTCAAAAAGGGGAATTGTGGTGATATATTATTGATGATTTAATAAAGCAACTGGAGATCAAAATGCAAAGCTAGCCACAGCCACAGAGCCAGGCAGTGGTGATACACACCTTTAATTCCAGCAGCCATACTAGCAAGCCATTGAGGCCAGGCAGTGGTGGTATACACCTTTAATCCCAGGACTCAGGAGACAGAGGCAGATGGCTCTCTGTGAGTTCAAGGCCACCCAGGGTTACATTAGAGTGAATCAGTCTAAAAGAGAAACAGCTCACACAAAGGAGATCTCACCACTTGGGATCCCACTCCTTTAATCCCAGCTGTAGAGAGGTATATAAGATAGGAGTGGGACATTTGGTATTCAATCTCAGAGGTTGTTTATTCTCCAGCCACGTGGAGGACAGGGCAGCCCTTTCAGCCTGAGGTAGAGGTAAGAGCTCGTGGCCTGCTGATTGCTTTTCTCATCTTTAGTTGCTTTGTTAGATCATAAACAATGTATCATCACATGTCTGTCTCTCCTTTCAGGGCGGGTCTCTCTATCTTGCTGTCTCTGTCTCTCTTGCCTCTTGGCAGAGGGTCTTACTATGTAGCCCAGGCTGGCCTCAGATGTGTTTTGTAGGTTGCACTTGAACTGGAGAGCCTCTCTTAGCTCTCACTTACCAGGATTACAGTGGTGGGCCACTGCACCCAGATCATGTATTACTGTATTTTGAGATAAATGCAAATTGATCTGGGTGCAGGTGAATATTTATGCTGTGGAATAAAAATTGAAGCTATTACTGCAAAGAAAGACGTGTATAGGATGGAGATTTTATGAATTATATAAAGTAAAAATATTTTATTATTATATGATAACTTAATTAGCTCTTGTTATGAAGAGAAAGAATGTTAATAACAGCAAGCACAAATACATCACTTGCAACTGAAACTTCATATATTTTGTATTAATTGTTCTGTACCATTGTCATTTATAGAGAAAACTAAGCTATCGAAGGTTTTTTAATGATTCTGCTTTTCTAATACTGCTATTTAAACAAGATCAAGCTGGTACCAGGATTCCAGATGTTCATGACCTAATATTTAGGGGAACTATTCAGGGCTCCTTTCCTGGAGTGTCCTGTCCTCACTGGGCTCTGTGTTGCCACATGGCGAGAAGGACCTTCCAGCAAAGAGTATAAACAAATGTTATTAGTTTATCACATGCTTCCAAAGTCTAGGTTTAACCACAAAAACTAAGTTATAGGGACTTCCTAGATAGAAAAAGAACTAAGCCTTTGAGGGTTTTTTGTTTTTGTTTTTGTTTTTGTTTTTGTTTTTAGATAGGGATTCTCTGTTTAGCACTAGCTGTCCAGGAACTCACTGTGTAGATCAGGTTTGCCTCAAACTTAGACATCTGCCTGCCTCTGCCTCCTAATGGTTAGGATTCAAGGTGTATGCCACTAGCACTGCCCAGTGAGATTCTATTTTCTTAAGACTAGTTATGTCCTCCTGCCAACAGGAGCAGTGATCAAATTTAGGGGCCTTCTGCAATGGTCTAAAATCATGTGTTAAAAATCTCAAATACTAAAGATGTATAGAAACTTCTATATCTCCCCTCATCGATAGAAGTCCTACAGAGTTCTCTCTGTTTCTTTCTTGTATAAAACTCTTACTTTATTTGTGTGCCAGTGACATTTCTGATCACCAACAAAGTCAGTTTCAGGAGCCTTGATGCTCAGTACTAAACAGAATGTGTTATATACACTAAATGTAACTTTTGTTTTTGGTTTTTATGAGATAGGGCTTCTCTGTATTGTTTTGGAGGCTATCGGTCCAGCCCGGCCTCGAACTCACAGAGATCCACCTGCCTCTGCCTCCTGAGTGCTGGGATTAAAGGCATGCGCCACCACCGCCTGGCTACACTAAATGTAACTTTTAAAAATAAACTCTATGAAGACAAACATTGCTCTCTTCTTTGTGTCTCATAAGGACACAGAGGAATATGTAGCCCATGGAAATACTTAATGAAATCTGATGATGGATGTCCTTCTGTACGTATGTTTCTCTTATTGTTTGATGAGTAAAACGCTGATTGGCCAGTAGCTGGGCAGGAAGGATAGATGGGGCTACCAGGCGAGGAGAATTCTGGGGAGAGGAAGGCCGAGAGAAGTGGCCAGGGAAACTCCATATAGCTGCCAAAGGAGTGACATGCTGGGTTATGGGTTAGCCACTGTCTTGGGGCAATACATAGACTAATAGAAACGAGTCAATAATTAAGAGAGAGCTAGTCAATAAGAAGCCTGAGCCATCAGTCAAACGGTTTATGAATAATAGTAAGTCTCTGTGGGTTTATTTGGAGCTAAATGGCTGTGGGACTAGGTGAAACAGAACTTCCATCAATATATATATATATAATGTGTATACATATATTTTTTGAAACAGGGTCACTATGTAGCCCTGGGTGACATGGAGCTCACTATGAGCCCTGGGCTGGTTTCAAAGTCACAGAGACCTGACTGCTTCCCTTTCCTTAGCTCTGGGATTAAAGGTGTATACCACCACTCCTAACAAAACTGGTATAATTTTATGTCATTAACATAAAACTAAGAAAGTTGCTGTATTTTTTATTGCCTAACAATTTTTACTTATGTTATAGCTATATTTCTTTTAAATGATGTGTTTTTGTGTTGACTACAATATTAGTACATCATAGGCAGAGATGTCAAGTTCAGCACATCCTAAAGACATGGATTTCTTTCCTTCTCCAGAGGAGAGGTAAGTCAATGTATTTAAATTCATTTTCTAGGAAGATGTTTGATAAAGTATGACAAAGACCTTTGGCAAAGTCAGCCGTTCCTTTCCTTCCTCATGATGATTGCTATGGTGACAGCCTCCTTTCCAGGAAAATGAACAGGTGCTTTTGCCCAGACTGAAGAAGGAGGAGCAAAGCAGTGTACAAACGCTACTTGTTACACCTAGGTGACAGCTAAGCAAAAATCCACAGTGTGCATTCATCATAGAGTAACTAATTTTAATACTTATTCTCATTGGGCTAGAAAACTGTGTTTCGTATGCAATCTAATTACAGCCATTTGAATGGTTTTGTTCTTTTAAACAGTCTTTTTTTTTTTTTTAAAGCCTCTGGACTCTGAGTTCTACTGAATGGAGTCAGAAGTAACTTTCAAAATAGAAAACATAGCCAACGGGGAGTTTGGGTTTGCAATAAAAAATATATCAAGCCTATGTGCTGACAGCTATCCTCACAGCCCCTAAGCTTAATTTGACGCAGAAAAACATACTTCCTCAACTCCTCACGTGACAAATAATAAAACACTGAGGGGCTCTCGCAGAAAACTGTCCAACACACTTAAATGGATAAGGTATTGTTTTCAGAAAGTTAAGACATTTTCTTAGAAACTTGCTTTGGCAGGCTTTGTGTGGTGATGCAAAGGTTTGGATAGTTCTTTGAAATGACGAGGGGCAGTGGGAAGTGACTTCACTCACAACACACATTGTCTGTACTGGCTTTCTGTGACTAGGAAAGGCCATGGGGGAAGTCTCTGGGTAGTGGGGATCTGGGTGGTTTCAATTTAGTGCCATTTAATTTAATGAATGAACAAATAAATTAATAGATGAAACATCTTCTGTCAACTTGTGTTGAAACACTGCGATGAATCCTGTCCTCCTAAATGAGTCGTGTCAACATCCATTTTCAATTTCACCAAAAAAGGCTCATTCTTAGTTTTTTCAAAGGTATACACATTTCAAATTCATTCTGTTGTAAAACCAGCAATGTAGGCCTTAAATGTTTACTTATTTATAAAATACTGACTGATAGGAGGTTTTAGCAGGTTTGAAAATACTGTGGCTTCTTTTATCGACTTCCTGAAGGAGGAGCATGACATAAGAAGTGTCTTACTTGTTTACGAATAGTCACTTTGGAGCTCATGAAAGTGTCTCCTAGCTACTGTCATTTGTAAAACTGCTCCTCCTCCATTGTTTCCCCATTCTCGACAGTTAAGAGAAATCAATTGTCTAACCCTTTGTTAGTCACCGTCTAGT